ATGTAAAAACAAAATATTGTCTTGAATTGGCAGCTATTGTTATGGCTTTTTTTATTACTGAACTGCTTTGCCTGCTAAATAATGTGTATCATGATGTGTATATAAGTTTCTAATCCACTCTTTACTGCTGTTGTGTATAGTTATGTAATGTACTGAAAGAAGAGGATGGACTAACAGGCTGCAATCAATTGATCCAGGTTTTCTAAATCAAAGTGTGACTTGTCAATTGTGTATTGGAACTAGACATGTGAGATTTGTTTTGTTTTGTTTAGGTTTTTTTGAAGGAAAATTTCAGAGATATGGTACATCCAAATCTCCGAATGGACACAGAAATGAATGGCACCGTATAAAAAAAAAAAGTGAGAACAAGATTAACCAATGCCTTTGTTTCATTTGGACCACATCACATGATATGGATAACGAATGGATCAACATTTTTTTCCATTTGTTAATTTGGATGCACATGCCGCCAGTCGATATTGTCCAATTAGCTCATGCCATTTCTCTTGGTGGTTAGACTAGAGTCTGAAAATATCGAATCCTTCCTATTAAAATCTGCCCGATTCAGTAATATATTAAATATATAGTAATCAATCTTCTAGAAAAACTGCAAAATTATTTGAATCTACCTGGACCAACGAATATACGAATGCCGAAAATAAATCGGTTCAACAACAGGCTCAAAACTGTAGACTGTGTAAATGCAACACTCAAAAGGTACTTTTTATGAGTTCTCTTCTACAGATACAGTAATTTTTCCAGCTTGTGGACACTAAGGATGGGTGAATCTGCCAGGGTTTGATTTACAAGGGGTTTGTTGAATCCTGTTTAAAATTTATGTCATATGAATATAGCAGCAAATCTACTTTATTGGGCAAATGAGTTCTGATCAGTTTCAAGGTTTGTAGGCAAACTACAGTCTAAAAATGGCAAGGGGTGATGGGTATAGCCATTGGGTACATTTACCAAAGCAGTAAAAAAAATAAATACAACAGGGAAAGGGTCATTTTAATGTGACTTTGATGCAGTAAGGAAAGACACCAATTCTTTAGAGCATCAATGACACCGTATTCTGGCATTTTGGATATGTAATTGATTTTTTTAACTTTTACATTTAGCCTGGCCTAAATACAACAGCAGTAATCTAATCTGGTTCATATCAATGTGAAAAAAAGATGTTTTAGATAGTCTTGACTACTACACTTGATTTGTTATCAAGTCGTAATAGGCTTGAATTGACCAGTGGAAGCAACAACTACAACAGATCTAAAAGTTATAGGAAGGCTTACTCTGAAACAATTAAAGATAAACCTCCAACTTTGTATAAATTGGCCAGTAAAACAGTTTAACATTTTATTTTACAGGCTTCTTTTTTACAGTGTATTTTATTTACAGTTTAATAAAATATTAAAATAGAGAGTACAAAAACACTTCAGGGGTTAGGCCACAATATAGGAGGAAGAGATGAGGTAGATTTTATCTTGAAATAAACAGAATTATCTGAGACAAGTAGCCACAAATATTGTTAAGTGGCTGCTCAGTATGTAAGCTGATTTGTTAGGCCACAATATCAGAGGGAGAGAAGAGGCAGATTTTATTTTAAAATAAACAGAGTGTATTATACTATAGAGATTTTATTATATATATTATGTATATTATATTATAGAAAGATATTAGCCACAAGGTTTTTACAATGGCTGGACAGTATGTATGCAGCTTGGTAAGGCTGAAATTTAAGAGGGAGAGACAAAGCAAGTCTTATGTTGCAATACAAGTTAGAGTGTGTAACCTGGAGGAAAATAGCCACAAATACTGTTCAATGACTAGAAAGTATGTAAGCAGCTTATTTTAGCTGCAGTCTAAGAGGGAGAAACGAGGCAGGTTTTATCTTAAAATAAATAATAGAGTGTATTATCTAAGAGACAATGCAGTCAAAATATTTTTGACTGTCGGAGCAGACATTGAAACACAAAATAGGATTTATCCCGCAAGAAACATTTGGCATTTGGTAGCTGGGATCCTTCTACGGAAACATTGTGTGGCATCTTTACAGTGCTAAGTCCAGAATAGGTAGCAAACGTCAAGGTGTAATGCAGGATTTCCCCTGCAACAAGCATTAGAAATGTGGCATATGAGGCCCAGCTACGGAAACATTGTGTGGCATCATTGCATTACCAAAGCAGCAGAATAGGCCAGGAGAAGTGTCAAAAACTGATGATGGTGGCAGGTATGTTTTTTAAAGTTTAGTCTATAGAATCAGCAGCAGGGGTTGTGCAGCCATTGGTAGTCCAAGACTGGTTTATTTTAATGAAAGTGAGCTGGGTCACACTGCCAGGGGACAGGCAGATTTGCCTCTATCTAAAAAAACATCCGGCTGTGCTGAAGACTCTCTAAGACAGTGGTTCTCAACCTTCCTAATGCCGTGACCCTTTAATACAGTTCCTCATGTTGTGGTGACCCCCAACCATAAAATTATTTACCCAGTAATTATAATTCATGAGTGTCGTTTTACCTCCAATACTGCTGCTTTCAACACAGTAGCTGCTTTTAACAGAGTAGCTGCTTTCAACACAGAAGCTGCTTTCTACACAGTAGCTGCTTTTTACACATCGGAAATATGTGTTTTCTGATGGTCTTAGGGGACCCCTGTGAAAGGGTCGTTTGACCCCCAAAGGGGTCACGACCCACAGGTTGAGAACCACTGCTCTAAGACATCACACTGGCTACAGGACAAGCTAGAAACTCCAGCACATACTGTGTAAGTTCCAGCCAGTGGTCCTGCCTGGACACCCATGGGGTCCTCACATCTGAGAAAATCCACATCAGCCCTGGACCAATGTAATCATCAATCATGGAGTGCTGCCTGCAGACAGATTGCTGTGGTTTACATAAAAACATTCTGAAAAAGCATTGCCGAGGCAGCCCTCACTTTAGCTCCTCTTTCCAAGGATCAGAAGATCAGGTAATTCTACCACTATCAGGAAATGTGGCAAACAGGTTCTCACACAGCACTTCCTCACAGTGCAGGATTTTGGACTCCGTCAGAGATAGTGGCAGTAGACAGATAATTTTACCCTGGTAGCAGGGATGCTAATAAGGTGGCCACCTCTATAACACCCATTTATGAAAACACCTGTCAGGGAAATTGCATGCATGGTCATGCATGAAGATGTGCATACGCTCATAATAATTCTCAAGCTACAACTAGACGTGCCCTAGCTTATGCGTATGCCCACTCGCGTGCACATGAACATTAGCACGAGCAGTGTAAATACTTGGCGCTCACTTGTTTATTTAAACTGGCTCCAGAGATCAGAGGATTGCTGAGTGGTTGTCAGCTCCTCCTGTTTGTGACCTGATCCTGTACTACCCGACTTGTCTTGACCCTGCTTGTTGCTGATATTGACTTGTTTCCTGACCCGTCCTTCTTTGGTACCTTCTCTGCTCATCCAATACCGACCCCAGCCTGGCCCTGACTCTGTTTTGGTTCCTGATTCTACACCTCTGCTACCTGGCTGATGCCTGCTGCCTGCCTGACCACCCGAGTTCCTGTATTTGCCTTCTTGATGCCTGCTGTTTGGTACCTGCTACAGTGCCTCTGCATCTGCCAGAGTATCCTACATCTGCCTGCTTGCCAGCCTGCTTGCTGCCCACAACTCTGCACCTGTTGCTGTGTCTTCGCACTGACACTCCTCAGCAATTTCACCCCACCCTCATACAGTGTCTCCTTACTGCCAACATCCTGACCCCCCCCCCCCCTCTTATTCTTCCTTTGAGTCCTGCTGCCTCACAGGGTATAGGCAGAGGACCCTGTTGGGCCTAAGATGGCAGGAAGTCTTCCTTTTCCTTCTGCCGCTGTGTCTCCAGTGCATGATCTATCAGGCCACACAACGTGTACTCCATGAGAAATACGACATAGATTGTATCATTGATCCCTGCCTCATTGTTTTGAACATCTCTTCAATAGGTGCCAAAATGCACAAAATATATTTTTTCATCCACGTACTGTCCCGTGGGCAAAACAGGAAGTAAAAGAAAAACCTTCAAAGTGATGGGATCCCTGGTTATCACAAGGGTCATCAGACGAGATGGCCAAACCTGCATAGTTACACTCAGGGAACTGGGACCAGACCATATTATTTAGAATGAAATCAAATTACATCCAAACATAAGCAAATATAAAGATGTAAGTGAACCACTATATCAAACTAAAAACCTAATAGAGTAACAAAAAGCCAAACTAGCAAACTCTCTATATACAATATATAGTAAAGGAGAACACAGAACAGCAGGTGAAAGCCTAGAGGTGCAGGAAACATATAGGAAGGGGGAGCCAAGACTGGGAAGAAGAACAAAGTGGAGTAGGAAAGAGGCAGCAGGGTTCAGGGTATAGGTACAAGGCAAGGAACATGATCAAGATCAGGAACAGGCTAAAAAACTGGGGCAAGGGGTGAATGTAGAAGAGGGACTAAATACCCTCCCAGCAGCCAGCATTAGGTGGAACTGATCACTAGAATTTGCTGGCTGCTGAGAGACACCTGCTGTAGGACACCGGAACTTTAAAAACCTTCATCTCTGGGAAGCACAGTGCCACCACCAGGTCCTGACTTTCACCTTCGTCCCTATTATGGTGACAACCCAATATAAAGGATTTTGTTTTCACTTTCACTCTCAGTGATAATGGTAAACAAGTCAAAAAAGAGGGTGATACAGACAGCAGGGATTCAGACGGCAATAAAAACCTCACATGTATTCTAATCCCTCTCCACTCAAAACAAAAAAAAACTTTGTCTTTAGTTACACTTTAAGATCCTGCAGTGTATTTGATGTTTTACTCCTCAGATATTTTACTATGTTGCCTTACCCTGGATTTATTGCTTCTTATCAACATCTTTTAATAAGTGAGGTGTCCACAACTAGACACAGTATTATAAATTATGTCTAACTAAAGATCTATATAGGAGAATCAGGACTGACCATTCGGGCACTGCCCGAGGAACCAGGGTCAGTAGGGGGCCCCATGAAATGCCCCTGGTACCTTTTATAGGTTTTTTTGGGTGTGCTTTCAGTGTGGGCAAGGAAACAGGGGCCCCATGATCCCCTATTGCCCGGGGGCCCCATGAGTTTTCAGTCCGCCCCTGATCAGGACCAGGGGTGGACTGACAACTCATGGGGCCCCCGGGCAATAGGGCATCATGGGGCCCCTGTGTCCTTGCCCAAACTCAAAAAAGCCTATGAAAAAGGTACCAGGGGCATCTCATGGGGCCCCCTACTGACCCCGGGCCCTCGGGCAGTGCCCGAGTTTACAAATGGTCAGTCCGCCCCTGATCAGGACCATCTTCTCGCCTGATGCTGATCCCGTTAGTGATGCATCCCTGCATTCTCTTAACTTTCTCCACTTCCAGCTCACACTGTTTGCTCAGTTTGCAATGAGCTCAAATAACCACCCCCCAAAACTTTTTCTTTCAACATTATACTTCCAATATTGTACTCAGACATGGATTCGTTTTCTTTAAATGCATTCTTTGGCATTTAGAGATGTTGAACTGCAGTTGCCACTGCTTTGACCCTGATCCTACTTATGTTAATGCTTATCCAAATATTATATATGAGATTTGTTTTTTTGAAAGTTTTTTTTTTCAATCAGGAATGTGAATCCGTTTCATCTGCCAAGATTATTTAAGTCTGTTTCTGCTTCATCCCTGTAATATCTTGCGGTAATACTATCGTCTGGAGGTCTGCGTGCCTGATACGATGTTGTCCCAGCTGTGAGAAGCTGATCTCTGGCTTGCTAATCATCTCGCTTTCATTTCTCAAACATGAAATCTACAATGTCTGCATTCTTTCACACAGAAAATAAATTATACAAGACTCAGAGGAAAGAGGAATAAAAACAAATTTTTTTTCAACATCTTGACGTAAATCATTTACAGAGATTTTTTTTTTTGCAAGGAAGACATCTTTTTACAAAATCTGATAATCAAAGCATATCCAGTGACAATGTTGCCTCTCAAGTATCAAGGAAAAGATGGCTTTATTGAGAGACCTTCCGATTCCACTTTTTTGACTATATTCACAGTTAAGGGCACAGTGTTCTTGATAAACAGAGCCACAATCACATACCTAATAGGAGACTGAGATGACAAGGGCAGCCTCTCTTGAATCTCTTTCCCAAGCACCCCTGTGATTGAGAAAAAGGTGCTAAGAGACAGGAGGAACACAGCTGTGAGAGGATGTAGTTTGCAGAACCCCAAACTAAAGATGCCAACCAGGAAGATCCAACAGAACGTGCAAGTGTCAGGCTAGGAGTCGGCAAGAGAACAAGTAGAAGTTAAATGGGAACTCTGACTTGTCCAAAAGTTCTGGATGGCAGATGTAGCAGGATGATGCCTAGAAGTAAGCAGCTGTATCAACTTGTAGGTCAAACAGACACTGGTGTGGAGTGGAAATTCACAGATGAAGCTAAGTTCAGTATCAAGTGGGCAACGCAGTATAAAATCAGAAGCTTGATCAAGGTCAGAAGTGAGATGTGGTCAGAGGAGGGTTTGAAGAAAGGTACAGAGCAGGATCCAAAATCAGGTCAGGAGGAAGCCGGGTCAATAACAGGAAACACATGCAGAATACAAATCTGGAGGCAAGACCACTCAGCACTGACGCTGAGTTAGAGCATACCTTAAATAGGCCATCTGGCACCAATGCTGACTCTGGGTGTGCAAACATGTCTGTGCACACACCATGATGCACGTGTACAAAGGGGACCATATGTAAGAAAGACCATATTGCATAATCTTAGCCAATGCACTCTGTATGCTGGACTCTACATTAATGAACAAAGTATTTACTCTCTCAACAGTTGCTGGTTGATAAGTAGCCTTCAAGTGTTCTAATAAATTTATTCTATTAAGGTAGGCAAAAAGAATATGCAATAGAAAAGGTTTGTTGTTCTGAGGTTTATGTGTGTCTGTAAGACTCACTTGTAGCACAGGAATTGCAGAATACTTTGTATGGTCAAGGACTTGACTAAGGTATTTCAGATACATCTGTTGCCTATGGCCACTGTAAAACTCCCCTAATTTCCACCCCATATTTCCTTAAATAAAGACACCAACACCCAAAATGGAGTACATGGCTGAACTGGCCTTTTATTGAAAAAAAAAACAAAACATAAATATCAAGAAAAACATTCACCGTTATAAACAATCCAGCTCCAAGAACAGTTGCGGATCCTTGACGACACCTCCTCACACCATTTTGGAGTCCGTGGTACCATTAAGTTAGGTTCTATCCCCAGCCACCAAACACCGCCTCGGGAGACTATCCTGACCACAGACCCCTACCAACTAAACTGAAACTGAACCAGACCAACCAGAGGACTCCACACCTGAGATAGGTCCCATTGTTTTACCAATATACCAAGTTTTTAGACCTCCATCAAGGACCCGAACCGCACCCCATCTCCCCCAAACCTTGCAAGCCCAAGGACAAGAGGGAGGGACATTCCAGCTTGCAAGTGATGCCCTTCACTCCACCCCACCAACTATTCTCTCTTCAGCTCCTCCCATCACCCCATCCAATCTTCCAATTTGGTAAGTGTGCTCTAATTTCATATTTCAACAGCACCTTAACCCTATGCTGCCAGGTTTTACTTCCATCCTGTCATGTATGCCCTGCGCTTATTCTCTTCTTTAAAATCTCCGGGCATGTCTGTGGCAAATGAGTCCAGTGTATACTGTGGGCAGCTACAAACTGTATTTAACAATGTCTAAAGTTGGGCGGTGTGGTTGCACATGTTCCTGTAAAACATTTTTTTTTTTTTGCTGTATGGTCTTCTTTCTTTCAAATCATACAAGCAAGGTTTATCCACAGGAACTTCTTTTCTTAGGCTGACAACATTACTACAGTTAAAGCGGTATAAACCACAAAACAAAAATTATACATATTGCACCGTACCACATCTTAGATGTGGCAGCTGCATTTTTTTCATGCTTTTTCCTTTATTTGTTTACTTGGTGATTTGACCAGTAAGTCTGTATTGTTCAGTAAAAATAGCAGTTAGAGTGTTGAGACAAAGCAGTGCTTACAATGGTTGTTGCTGTACGGTGCTTGCACCACATTTTTTGCAGGTAAAAAAAGTGCATTCATTATTTTTTGTTTGTTGAGCCTCTAAAGTATTGTACCAGCGATCAGAAGACCGCTGGTGCCTTGCAAGTCCCCCCCTGATTTGTCAGTATATCTGCTTGCTAGTAAATCATGTACGGGCAAGCAGATACTTATTGACATGAAGGCTCAATGAACTACCTCGGTGCTGTGGAGCACAGTGGTAGTTCATTGAAAACTGCAAGCCAACAGTCGCAAAGGCTGCTGGGACTTGTCGTTTTCCCATTCACAGAATACTGTGAATAAGTGATGACAAGGCCAGGTGGTGGAGCCCCGCATGTCCGCGTTTTTTTTTTTTAGTGTGACAACTAGTGGGGAGGAGAAGATCCCCTGCTAGTTGTCACAATGGGGATCAGGGGGGTGCGGATATATTAGTGTAACATGGAACATGTTACAAAAGGTTAACTTATCCTTTAATTTCCCCCCATTGTATGATCCACTATTGTCACCATCAGAAAACCCAACACAACCCAACCTTTGCAACCCTGGCAGTTCCGCCGCTAGTGTCAATAGGTTTTTAGTTTTATTAAATTTGTTACAATTTTATATTTTTATTATTTTTTGTAGATTTTTTTAGGAAAGAAAAAAAAAGGAGAGCAGGAAAGAAAGAAAGAAAGAAAAAGAGGAGAGAGAGAGAGAGAGAGAGAGAGAGAGAGAGAGAGAGAGAGAGAACAATTTTATATTTTATTATTTTTGTAGATTTTTTTAGGAAAGAAAGAGAGAGAGAGAAAGAAAGAAAGAAAGAGAGAGAGAGAGAGAGAGAAAGAGAGAGAGAGAGAGAGAGAGAGAGAGAGAGAGAGAGAGAGAGAGAGAAAGAAAAAGAAAGAAAGAAAGAAAGAGAAAGAAAAAAGAAAGAAGAAAGAAAGAAAGAAAGAAAGAAAGAAAGAAAGAAAGAAAGAAAGAAAGAGAGAGAACAATTTTATATTTTATGATTTTTGTAGATTTTTTTTAGGAAAGAAAGAAAGAGAGGAGAGAAAGAAAGGAAAGAAAGAAAGAAAGAAAGAAAGAAAGAAAGAAAAAGAAAGAAAGAAATGAGGGAGACAGGAGACAGAGAAATAAAGAGAGAAAGAGAGAAAGAAAGTAGAGGGAGAGAGAGAGAGAGAGAGAGAGAAAGAAAGAACGAAAGAGAGAGAGAGAGAGAACAATTTTATATTTTATTATTTTTGTAGATTTTTTTTAGGAAAGAAAGAAAGAGGAGAGAGAGAAAGAAAGAAAGGAAAGAAAGAAAGAAAGAAAGAAAGAAAGAAATGAGGGAAACAGGAGACAGAGAAATAAAGAGAGAAAGAGAGAAAGAAAGAAAAAAAAAAAAGAACGAAAGAAGGAGGGAAACAGGAGACAGAGAAATAAAGAGAGAAGGAGAGAAAGAAAGGAAGGAAGGAAGGAAGGAAGGAAGAAGGGGGGAGAGAATACACAAGGCTGGTGGGGAGTATGGGTGGGGCAGACACAGGAGGAGAGGGCGGGAGGAGGAGGGTCAGAATCAGCTTTCTCTCTCCTCTCCCGTCTGTGGTGGGGGGGGACTGGCAGCACTGGGCACAGTCTATCCTGACAGATCCTGCAGCAGCCACAGGGAGGAGGGAACCCAGCGGCAGTGATGCAGGAGATGGGGGAGTTGGCCGAGGGGGGAGCATGCAGGAGATGGATAGGAGGGACAGCAGAGCGACACATAGAGGAACCGAGAAATGCATGGTCCGGTTACTCTATCCGGTTACACCTATCCAGGTGGTCCCTGATCCACACTCAAATTCCCGGTGTACCCTATGGCCAGTCCAGGCCTGGGTATCAGTGCATCCCTAGTGGATAGTGTTAAACTAGCAGCATTAGATGAACTTGACTAACAACCTTCAGCTAACATTTTATAAGCAGTTACAGCTGTTTTTTTCCTTTTGTTATAAAGGTTTTACACAAATGAATATAATGAAGATAATCATTTTAGGCACTA